CTTGAATTACCCATGAATTAAAAACTTCATTTCAGAACAAACTGTTTATGCCAGATCAGAAGATGTTTATCAGGAGTGTTTGTGTGTCTACTTTTCTACATAGTTAAAAGAGAGACTGCATTGCCCCTAAGAACTGACTTCAGAAAGGTCTTAGTAGGAAGAAAAAAAATCAAAATAATATTAATGCATGGCAAATTCATTTAGATGTCAAATAAATGTACTCATAGATTCCTCTTTGCACAGTCTGGCAGAAGAAGAAAGGGACAAATGAAGGAGAGAAGCAGTATCTCACCCATACCAGGCTCTGGAGGTGGCTGGGCATGACAGTAAGAGGTGATTTCATATGAAACTGCTCCCCATGCCAACCATTTGTTTTGCTTTCCTCAGTGAGTTCCTCTGTGCTCATTAGTTGAGCAAATTTAAAATCTAGATTCCTGGTTCAGAATTGTTGAGGAGCACACCCGGGATTAGTGGCAGCAGAAAGCATAAACATGGAGCAGAATACAGTCCAAGACCAGTAATGTCCACCTGGATACTCTTGAAGTCAACAGCTGAAGATGAGGTGTTAGCACTGGAGACTAAGGACAAAATAGTCTCAATCCAGTAAAAGAAAGGGAAGGGAAGTGACAAAGCTGAGATTGAAACAGCAGTATATCCTTCCTGCTAAAGGTTTATGGGAATAGTAAAGACTTTTTGCAGTGCCAGGACCTGGTTTTGAGAACAGCCTTAATGAAGCTGCTTAATAGGAAGAAATGAGGAGCAGTATCTAAATACAAATAGAAATTACATGAAAAATAGCTACTGAAGTCTCATAACTCACATAGCTAGAATTCTGTCAAAGAGATTTCCCTGGCATGACAATGGAGCTCTTACAAACACACCTACCCAGTCTGACCATCTGAATTCTGCTGAATTACTATGAATGCACACCAGGATAATGATGTGAGAGGAATGCCTGCCTGAGGCTTCTCCAGAGAAACCTTTGTTATGTTGAGAGGGTATTACAGCCATGAGTTTGTGGAGGATTTGGAGGAGGAACCATTCTTTATCTTAAGATCACTGGAGTTTCTCTTAGTGTCTCTAGGGTACTTTGATTCTTCTTACTTATCCAGAACAAAGTGAATGCAATGACAGATGATGTCTCCCTGATTTTTTCTCTTATAATCACCCTACTAGCCACCACTCGCTGCTGTTTGCCCTCTGTTCTTCAAGTTTCCATTTGACTATCCACATTATTAATTCCCATCTGGCTGGCTTTTGGTCAGTTCCTTTTTAGTTTCTGCAGTGATACCTTCCATGCCTGTGTTGAAAAATGACACTGATGCTGCCATGAGACATTTTCTTCCTGCATTTTCTTTATTTGGCAATCCTCTTTGAAAAAAAATAAAATGTTGGCTCATCATAAGTCCCCAGTGACCTTCTCTGGGCTCCGCAAATATCCTGACTTTTTGCACAACAGTTATTCAGAATAAAACCCCTCATGCAATTTACTGATACATTTTTTCTTACAAAGTTCAGATGGAAAGACTATCCAGGATTTGGTGGGCCATTCTCTTAAAGACTTTTTAATCCTCCAAATAATTCAACTCCACCAGTGCATTGCTATCACCCTGGATTACTTTCTCCATCACAACAGTTATGTCCTTCCTATTTGCTTCCTTCAAACTGACAGTTTTCCAAGTCTATGAACTTGAAAATGAGACCAATACTTCCAATTCAATTCTGCCTGTTTCTTTAGAAATATCTCTATAAGTTATTTCATCACAATGAACAAAGGAATTCCTTGTAAACAGTGGTGCAGAGTCACAGTATGTGCATGTCTTCATCATATGTGGTCTGATTTTTAAATCACAGTGCATCACACTAAAGCATCCTTAAAGAAACTTGGTTCAGTATTTTCAGTCATTAATTTTGACAGCCTGCTCTAGAAAGTTGGATTTTAAAATCTCTCAGTTGTGTTTCTTTGACTGTGTTTAGTAGCCTATATTTAGAGAAGATTTTTAGCAACTCTTTTGGCAGCAAAGGAACTGAGACTGGAGAGAGAGACTCTGAAGAGCAGCATGGAGCTGTCACTGGGATGAGGTGATTGGGTCTTCTGATCTGTGGCTACTCTTCAGGGGAGCTCTGTGTGTTGTTCTGAGCATTTGTTTCAGTATTGATTTCTACTGAGTGTTTTTTCTGTAGCCTGTTAATACTTCTCCATTAAGCATATTAACAAAGCTCCCAGTTATACAGTGAGAGCAAAGTTGAATCCTAAATTAAATAATTAAATTATTAAATGCAGTTTGATGTTCAGGATATTGTATTGAAATCTTTGGTTGGAAGGTCTTTTTTCCTCTTCAGGAAGATATATTGCACCTCTTACTGTTATCTCCAGAGTAATAGAATTTTCTATTTATTACTTACATGAGAAAAATGGCTCTTCAGACAATTGGTCATTCACAGCTGTGAATGCCAGTGAAATGGAGTCGCGATGTCAACCTGCTCTAATTATGTACTGCAGGTAGTGAAACACATCATGAGTTAGTTTGATGTAGCAAATTAGAAACCCAACGTAGGTAAAAATAACAAAGATAGTTATGAACTATTTCATTCAGTCACTTTCTCATCCTATTTCCCAGCTTTTAGGGAAAAGAAAATTGCAATGACCACAATAAAACCAAAAAAACCACCCAAACAAACAAACCATAAACCCCGTCACACCTCAACAACCTAGGGACTGCAGAATTTGAAAATATTAAAAAGGGCATACTTTGCATGTGTGTCTAGCTTCGAGACAGGAATCTGCGAAGGAGGGCTAAAGCCTCCTGTGCAATGGAGAAGGTAAACCCCCTCCCTCTGAATTACTAGGAGTTTTAAATCAAAAGGCTCTCAGGCAAAGATATGGGAATGGGAGTAACAATTCTTTACTAGGAGAAAACTAGACAACAATTTAAAAAGGCAAATGCAATCGGTACAAACAAAACCAGTGAAAAAGTCCAGAACCTGAGAATTCGGGGTGCCAGTAGCAGTCCTGCTGGGATGATTGCTCCCCTTGCAGTAGTTGATGAATTGCAGCTGCAGTGGTGATCTTTAGAAGGGTATAGTTTTCCTCTGAAGATCTGGTGGCAGTGGGGCCGGTCTTCCTCTGCGCCGGGGTTGCCTCCGAGCTCCGCCGCCGTCGCCTCAGCGCGCTCCGGCTGCTTCGCTGCGAGATCCCGCGAAAAAAAGAGAGAGAGCTGCTTCTCTGGGAATCCCGCGAAGAGAGAGAGCGAGCTGCTTCTCTCTGAGTCCCGCCCAGAGAGCTGCCTCCTCTCCCCAAAAAGCTACCCCTTTAAACAATAATAGAGTGCTTGGCTTCCCCCTCTGGGTGGGACCCCTCATGGTGTTACACTTACCAGCCCGGCAGTGAGTCAGTCAATAGTGTATAAACAAACCATTGCCTCTACGGGGCAAACCATTGTCTTTGAGAGAGATAACAAAACCTGCCCAACCTTTCGACAGATGGCAAATAGAATACAAGTTTATCTTACAACCCAGGACAATGTGTCTCAAATTTGTGACTGAATGTAGATCCATAAAAAAGCCTTTGCATTTACACCTCACATTAATTATCAAAAGTGGTTATATACCTGCTCTTAATTATATTTGAATACCCTCACATATATATGTTAACAGTGCTAAACAGATTTCTAAGACTTAACAGTGTCTGTGGGGACACATTGTGCTGAGTGTTCAGAGAGCACAATCCAACAGGTCATTATAAGATGTACTTGGATCATCATGTAAAATGCTGCTGACAAAGGAGAAGATGGAGAAAATATCCTTGATGCTAAATAAGGCGGGATAATATGGAGAGATCATCTGCTGTGTTGGAATCTCTGGTTTCTTTGCCTCTTCATCCTCTGAACAGGTCTAAAGCCAGATGTCCCATAAATGTTCTAGTTACTGAGTTCTAGTGATTGCAGTTTTCCTAGCTGGGCTTTGCAAGGAGCCATGGTTCCTTCAGTCCCTGTTTCCTCCTCCCATGGTTTATAGGAAATGATTGGGCACTTAGCTCTTGAAAAAGTAAGGACTCTTCAGTAAAAGTAGGTGCTTTCTTATTTTAAGAAACTAGTTACCAAAGACTTTGAAAGAAGGCATGCTAAGTCATAAGCTTCATGCTCGCTATTTTCACTGTCTCTTCACACACTGCTTTCTGTGGACCTTTTTCTGTGGACCTTTTTGTGTTCAGTCCCCTTTTTGCAGCATGGCTGCAGCTTCCACCAGACAAAAGATACTTGGGTCCCTGATAGCATAATGCTTAGTGTAAATGCAATTTTCAATTTTCTGTCTAAACTTCAGTCTTTATCACCCAGCAGCTACTGTTAATGAAAATTCTTCTCTTTTTAGAAGGGACACCTATGAAAGTTCTTCTATTTTGAAAATGCCTACTACTTCTGACCTCATGAATCCATTTCAAATATGGCCATTGTATGTAGTATCTGACCATTTAAGAAGGATGTATTGAAGGCTTTGAAATAGCATTTAGAAAGTCCTTGGGCTCACCAGTGCTTGCATCTGGAAAACACAAGGCAGTTTTCAGGCCCTGGGGTATAAACTGCCATGATACCTATAGTCCCTGGCAGTATAGACTACAGGATTTGAATTGCAGTTTAGATCATTCTGTCTGACAAGAGTTTGGGCACTTGTAATCAACCCTAACAGTGGTATTCACTAGAGGCAAACAACTGAAATGTGTTAAAATATTGCTGAAATAAAAATGTGTCAGAAATGAACACTGAAATTAATATTTAAGGCACTGTAAATGTGAATTCTGATAAATTTTTTCCTGATGGGTCATTCAGGTACAGCTTTTAATTGCTCTTTGCAGAAAATACATTTTGACCTTGTCATATTTTCTGCTTATTTAATGTGCCGTTTTTTTAAATTAGTGTCTGTAGTGTGTCTCCTGATCATTCTCTTACTCTAGTTCATATGTAGAGTCTTTAAGTAATTTCAATTGTCTTTGACTTTTTCAGGTGCTTTCCTAATTCAGCAGACAAAGAAAGAGTGGAATTTCTCAGTTTCTTCTGACTCCGGTTTCACTCAAATGATGACAATAGAAAACAGCAAGGTTTTCCTGGTGTGAAAGCATGTTCATTAAATTACTTTACATTTCTAAGTTATATTACTACTTTCAGTAGTACTGCATGAATGATTGTGATTGTGGGATCTTTATGCATAAATGCATTTGGAAACCATAATTATATTTCTGTCCTAGAACATCACAAAAATCTAAACATAAGATTCAGTGGCTGATGGATAAATGACTGCATGGATTTAATGTGAATTGATCTTAAAAACAGGCAGACATTATATTTATTTTTGTGTGCAATAATCTGGGTAGAAGTCTGAGTAACATTGATCATAATATTCAAGAGAAACATAATTCCCCATAGAGTGTTAAGGGAAAATGACTTATTTTGTGTTCCATATACAGTGCAAATTTTTTCCATGAGGCACCAAAAGGCACAAAAGAGAATAAAACACCACTACCAAGATTTGCTTTGCTTAATTGGAGCAGGAAGCATTATTAACATCTTTTGATTCTCTTTGAAGCAATCATATTTCTGCAAAAAAGAAAACATAAGTGAACAGTTGCTTGCCCAAACCTGGATTAGGAAAATTAACAGTTCACTTTAGCATATAAAAAATACTGGACCAAATAATATATACTACAGGAGCAAGCAGCATAAACTAGCAATTGACTAAATTTTATGGGGTATGGCCCTGGAGGAATGCATGCTGGCAAAACTCACTCAACTAATCACTGGTAACCCCCAAGTGCATTATGTTTTGACTTGAAAGGCTTGATTATGGAGTTAAACCTGAGTAACATTTCAAGTATTTGAGTTGTCATTACCCTACCCTAAAAAGGTTCATAGATCTCAACTGTGGCAGTAAACAATTTGCCATAGTTCAGGCTATATTTATCATAGATCCATAGAATTTAATGACAGAAGGAAGCACTGGATCACACTGGCTGATGTCCTGTATACCCTATTACCCAGATCTGGAGGTCTGTGTTGCCCACGGTATAGATGCTTTTGCATGCACAATAAATCCAGTCCACTGGTCCCACCTTCTTCATGACAATCGGGTCTTGCGCAATCTATCTCGTGCAATTGTTTTGTCAGACTTACTGAAATCAGGTACTGGAGCTCTTTTTGCAGTGTGGTCCCCACAAGCCCGTGCTGTAAAATGACTCCTTGGTGCACCTCATTCTGTTTTGTTACCTACTGTCTCTCTTGATCTGAATAATCCTTATCTGAGGAAATTTACTCTTGACTAGCATATGGTTTTCCAAAGAGGACACATTAGGCAAAAGCCGTGTCTAATTTCTATTATTAGCTTTTCTAGTATCACATTCAAAACACTAGTATACTTTTTTCCTTTCCTTTTAGTGCCAGAGCTGCATTAGTATTCACTAATTTTTCACTAAAGACAGTTGTACTGCATGCACATTGCCTTTCATTTCTCACCTGTGATGAAGTGACAGCTTGAATTATTTTAAACCCTTTTTTCCCAAACTACAGACTGATTTTGTGGCTCTTGATCATGTTCAGTTCTTAAAGCTCTTTTTACAAAACACAAATATTGACAGTGGTTGTGTAATCTGAATTAGTTTACTGCTAGTTTCACTAAAGTCACAGTCAGGTGTAATTTCAGCTTGCTACTGCTGATCACAGCTTTCCTCTTTTTCTGTCCTTATGGCACAGTATGACACTGGGAGTTACTGCTGGGCCTTTTGTGCTCTCCCATGAGGGCTGTCTGATGTTTCTTGTTAGCCAGGTGACTTGGTGTGAAAATGTGTCTTGTTTGAATGGCGTGTTCTGATGTGGGACTGTTTGCTCTGTGTGATGGACCTTTCATTTTGTGTTCCCTTACATGGAAAAAGCAGCTTTCCCAACCAGCACTACAAGCCAGCTCCCATCCAGTGAACACTCCCTACATTGTATTGTTCTGATCAGGTGAAGTATGGGCAAAGGGACCTCCCAGGCACTAGTAACCATGCCCTCACCTACCTGCCCTATACCACACAAACATCTCTGTTGTCATTTCTCCTTTTGCTGGTTTTGTTTCCTCTGAATTTATTACTATTTTTTGTTCCCTCTGAATTTATTATTATTTAGTCCAGGTCCGCATGAAAAAATTAATAACGTGGAGCAAGGTTATTTTGCAGTCTTCTCCTGTCAATTCTCTTAAGAAAAGAAAGTTCCCTACTAGTCTATGAGATTTCTATAAATCTTTTTCTCTTGTTAAGTATTTCTCAGTTAGCTCTTTCTTATTTTTCCTGATAAAGTATGCATAAAATTATACTGTTCAGCACTGACTGTTTGATTAGTATGTCACAGGACACTAAATAAAATACCTTGCAGAGTTCTGTGTTTATGAGCTCTCCACTCCCCAAATTTTTATCTCCTAAAAGTACAAAATGAGACCTGGGAAGGATGATATTCCATTTAAAAAAAACATAACTCTTATTTTTCAAGGCTCAACAGTGTCCTCTCCTTTCTTGCTCTGGCATCAATGTCATATTCAAGGGCCCATTGAAGTGTAACTCATTCTGTCTTTTTTGACTTTAACTATACAAAGGGCAAATTTATTTTTCCTCTATATACTGTGGAATGATGGATTTGCCCTGACATGTTAATATTTTCTGATAATTTCTTTTATTTTGCTGGGAAATGAATAAAAGTGATACAGAGATAGGAGATGGGATAAGGAATGCAACCTCCTGCCAGGAAGCTTGAACTCCTTTGTACACATCACTCAAGAATTGCTGCAGCTGGTTGGCTGTGGCAGTGTAGCAAGTGCCATAATGTTTCAGAAAGATCCTATGCTCATTTCAGCTGCTTGATTTGCAGTGGGCAGCTTTTAGGAGAATCAGTGCAGAAACTATTTTCAGGTGCATGAGAGGGCAGTGTTTGTCTCATCCTGCTGTGAAATGTTATGATGTAAAATCAATGTAGCTTGCCATTGAGCAGTCCCATAACAATTACTGTCTTTGTAACATATTTTTCTCTGCCATGTCTGATGCATACGTTACATTACAGGCAAGTGGCCATTTCCATACACAGATAAGTATCCAATCAGGGCGAAAGGTACCTTCCTTGAGGCAGAAAAGTAGCTTCTTCCCACAGAAAGGCTGTCAGGAAACAGCTTCACAGTCTGTAGCTGTTGAGAGTATCAGCAGTAGAACGTTCAAATGACAAAAGGGCACATGGTGATCTTTACCTCAGTAGGATCCTCTGTAGTTCCTACTACACTGTTTTTTTTTTTATCATGTGATCTCTGCCACATTTGGATAGTGCATGAAAACTGGATGAGTAAATGGCTTACTTTTTGTTTATTTTTCTAGTCAGGAGAAGCTGAATAAATTTGAATGTAATTGAGAATCTTTATAGAAAATCCCCTCTGTGAAGGACAATTTTGCACCAATACGTCTGTTAAAGATCTCTGTCAGCTAATTTTTAATCAATAGTGTGTGCTGAAAGGGGGATTTGGCCTTTATAAAAGCACATTAAATTTTCATTTGAAGTTAGTGCAATACATCAAGCATCTTCTTATTCCACCTTTCCCCACTTGGATCGTGGTATTGTACTTTGTAGAGAAAGGAGATTAAACATTTCTTTTGAGCATTAGTTTGTGTTTGAGCTCCAGATTAATATGCAAGCCTGTCCTCTTAAAAAGTGTGGGAGTTGTAAAGTGACTGTGGCAAGATCAGCATCAGGGAAGAGTCACAACAGGACTGAGAGAGAGATATGGTTCATTATCCCAGCACAGAAAAAAATCCCTTCTCCAACCTTGCTGAGGTAGAAAGGGAAGGGGAAGTGATGATCCCTCTGGAATCTGGTTATTAACACATATCTGAACTGTATGAGCTCTTTTAAAGAACTTGCCTCAGAGGAACTTGCTCCCCCGCAGTGAGATGATGATGAAATGCACTGAAGCTCTTTGGAAAATTCTTCTTGTATAAGGTCTCATTTACACAGCAGACAGAATCTGTACCTGATTGAGGGTCAGAAACTCACTGGAAAGCCATGCTGGATGCTGTCTGGATGTATCTGCAAGCATAAGCAATTTCCCACTACTGCTGCATCAGAATAGACACCTGAGACTCATTACTGAAGGTGACAACCAAATGCTGGCCATGGCTTGGGCCTTTCAGTCTCCATCTAGTACACATTGTTGTTGGCATGAGTTGCTAGCCATGTGTCATGGTTTTGTAAGCTTTGTTAAAAAGAAAAACAATTTTTAAATGATTTATCATGCCTGATTCCATTGTGCATGATATTTACATGAAAGAATATATGTATTTTCCCTTTGTAAAGAAAAGGCATGAAGCCTGTTTCACTGTCTGTGTAGGAATGAAATATGCAATACATTTACAGCAAAATAAATCAGTCCTATGATCTGAATCATAGAACCATAGAATCAAAGAAGCATAACCCAACAGTTTAATGTGAGTTGATTTTGTGAAATTTACATTAATAAAACATGAACCTTGCTAATTTTGCAAACTTATGAAAAATCCCTTTTTTGATATAAGACAATCATAGATATGAATTGAAGTTTGATAGCCCTCTGTTGTCTGTTGTACATGGTTGCTATTGCTTGTTTTGGCAAAAGAGATGGAGGTGGTCCAAGGACTAGGATATATGTTCTGGATCATTGACTACATTTCAGAGAAGTTTGGCCATAACTAAATATTGTGCTTGACTTCCTTACTTACAGAAAAATAAGAAATGTTGCTCCTCTGGGAGCAACTCCTTCCACTCAGTCAAATACGGCTTTGTTAGAGATCATGGTCTTATTGCTTGGGCATTAAATAGGGTAGCACAAGAGTTTCTGATACTCCGTCCTCATCCACAGGCAAATGAAAAGGGTGGAGTGGGACAAAGAATGTGGAGCTTGTGCTCTGGCCACACCAAACATCAGTTTTCAGTTGGAGGACTGGGCATTGGGAAGTGAAACATATTTTTCAGGTATATCACAGTTTTTTGCGATTATCACAACACCC